CCCCCCCGAGCTTGAAGTGCTGAAAGTATCTTAACTGTTAATAATTTGGCTTCTCTAGCAGGATCAACACGTTTCAGTTTGAATGTCTTTGAATCAAGCCAAAACTCCAGTGAGAGAAGGCAACGAGTTCATCCTAAGGGAGCATTTATAGAAAAATACACTGTCCTGCTTGATGACCAGAAAAAAACACTTTTGCTAGCATATTTCATTCAGGACTCTGAGCATGTTCAAGGTTGTTTGGGGTTTTAAAAATTATTATTTTGCTTTGCAATCTCATATTATTTGGACAAATATTTTTCATGCATTGTCTGCTGCCAGTTGAGCTCTAACAGAAAAGATCTTTGCAACCAACAACTGATCTCGAATCCTTCAGTTTGAGTTGTCAACTTGGGGTTCTTTTATTTTGGAAAGGCAGCTACTCATCATTTCATAAAATCATCTGCACTTTATATTGTCTCAGTTTCATCAGCCTCAAGTATAGGTACTGGAAATCACCAGTTGCTTTTGAAATCTTGGGCTGGGTGAACAACTTTTTAAAACAATGGAAAATAAGAAGTGAGAAGGCTTTGTGATTGTTCTTTATGTCTAGGAATGGACAGTCTGAGTAAAATGTAAAAGGGTTAATAACTGTAATGAAATAGGCCTCATTGTATTGTTGCGAGTTAAAAATATGCCTTTTGCTGCAGGGCTTGCATTAATATTTTTTGAGAGAAGTAGCATCAATGTACTGTAATAGACTTTTATTAATAGGCTAGTGCGGGAGAGCTGAGCACGCACACGACCAATGTGATCAAGCAATACCTATTTAGTACAACTAAGAAAGCCCTTTTATAATGTTCTCCCGCACACATGAGTAACATGCAGTACAAGTCCTCAGGATTGGACAGTTAACTTAGCCCACGCTTTAAACCTTCTTCTGATTGGATAAAAAGTGCCACATCAGCCTTGCCAGGCTTCCTGCCTTCCTCTTCCATCCCAACCCCTTCCGGGGGTTGTTTGTCTCGTCGAGTTTCTCCCCCCTCATTCAGGGTATGTCCTTACAACATTCTTGCTCAGGCTGAGGCTTTTATCAGTCTTGTTCTCACGCAGGATTGCTCACATGTCCATTCTCTCACAGAAGGTCCTCTTGAATCCCACCAGGCTAGCACAGTCATCAGTCTCTGTATTGGTGTGATGGCTGAATATAGTGAGTATGAGCATCCTGACAAGGAAGTAGCAAAATCTATCAATCAATCTCAGCATGAAGATGCTGTGATAATTATGTTTACAGTGGTAATAAAATATGGATAAATAAAGTGTTCAAACCCATGGAAATTTTAGGGTCCATAGTGGATATCCTATGAAATATAAAAGACAGCATGACCATAAATTCACCTAGCTGTGTTGACTGACATCATTATTCTCTTGACCCATCTTGCTACTTTTAGAATAATTTCATGCATTTTTATTCAGCCCTGTTCAGTGGTAAAATGTCTTCAAGGCTAAAGGCCTAGGTTGCATTCTTTTCTTGCTGTAATCATGTGCAAGGATGTTTGGTGCCCTTCCTTGTGATGATGCTGATGCACTCGGAACAGCAGTGTGGTGGTGTTTTATAATTTGTTAGTCACTTTTTCTTTCCAGTATAGGCCAGATAAAGAACAGGGCATGTTCTGCTCCCTTTCATGCTGATCCATGTGGGTGGTTGACTCCATTTATTTCAGTAGAATTACTCTTAAGTTTATGGTATAAGGAAAAACAAACTTCCTGGTCTAGTGGCTTCTGGTGTTAATGAGTCAAAGTCTCCTAGACTGAGAAATGATCTGTCATATGATTGCTGGGAAGAAAAAAGTCCTGATTTTTTTTTTTTTTTTCCTGTCCTAGGGCCATGTCCCTGGCAGGACAAAGGAGCTTTATGTATCTGGAATCCATTGCATTTACATCATGTTTCAATCTCTTTATAATGGCAGGTTAATCTATATTTTAGCATAAGGAAGAATATGGCCCAGTCTGAGTCACCAATCTGCCCCACTCTTGACAGCATCAGAATTTAAATTTATTTTTTTACTTTTAAGAAAATTAGTAAACTCAGTTCCTGAAAAGGTGCTAGTTTGACAGCCTGTGATACTGATGTCTTTGTGCTCGACTGTGGCACAGCCCTGCTCAGGCAGCAGCAGAGGAGGCTTCTTCTGCCAATGTGCCTCCACCCTGGCCTGTAGTGGGGGAGAGGTAACTTTGCTTCCCATGCTTCATTTAATTCTTGGCTCTGTCTGCTGAGAATGGCAACAGAGTTGCCAGTTGTGGCATGCACATTTATTGCTAGGAAGTGAGCCAGAACCACCAATCCATTTTGCATAGACACTGAACAGCAATGGTAAATACTTCTTGTTCATTACTAACCTAAGCCGGATTTGAACTGAAGACTTGGAGGTGAAAGACTGTCTCCCATTCCTTAATCCCCTTAACATTTCAGTCTGCCTCATAAAATTTTGTAAAACCAAATTTAAACCTTGTGTATAAAATGAAATCCAGGAGAGAAAAGAAAATCCAGAGTAAAGACTGAGTCTGTTTTCTTCTGCATCAAGCTTTTTTGCTAGTAGTGACCCTGGAAAATTATTCTCTGATTATTCTCTTGAGAGATTACTCTAATTTCTTGCTGCTGTAGATGGCCATATGATCAATTGTCATCAGTCACTGCCTGATGATGGGTCATTACTTACCAGTGCATACTTGGGGGGAAAAACACATGCGACTTCCATTAGGAGGCAGAGTGCACCTACATCAAATATGAAATACACAGTAAGTTTTCATTAATAACATTTCAAGACTGTCCTCCTAAAGTTCCTCGCACAGAAGCTGGCTTCACAGTGGAAGAACTGAAACTAAGATAGATTTGCAGCTTGCAGTCAGGAAAATGAGTATTGCCATAAGTAAAAAATCTGATTTTTTTAGTTGAGCATTTCAATAACAGAGATTGGTTTTATTGAGAAAGAAAGGTAAAGCTCATTCTCTTCTGTTTTTTGCTTCAAGACCTCCTAGATTGAGAGAGCTTTTGTATTTTAATTAATTCATTTAATTAAATTAAGTTACAGCCTGTATAAACATTCCCTTCTTGTTCAGTTTCAAAGTTAGGAATTCATGTATAGCACCATGAAAAATGCTTCATCTCATGGGTATTGTATTGGTCAGGAAGTCTGGATGTCTTCTCAAGAACATAGAGAATAATTTTAGTGAAATTTTAAAATGTATTTCTTTCATATTTTCTAAATATCAGTGATTCAAATCAAACAGACCTTCAGCTGGGTAAACTACTGAGAACTAAAAAACATAAAGCGATCACAGCCCTGCTATGCTGAGGGGCCTTTTGAATGGATTCTGCAATGACAGTATTTTTCCTATAAAGGTAAAGACAGTTTCTGTCTAAATCACAATGATTTTCATTAAGGCTTTCAAAGCGAAATCTGGTGGACCAAGTGGAAGAAGGTTAGAAAGAGGTGAAATTGGAAGAAGCAGTTGGGGTTTTTTGTCCAGGCAAATGGAGGGCATTGAAATATTGAAATATGTAGAGATAGAATTGGATGAGATTTGGTGTCACCTAGTCACATTTCTGTGTGTTCCAGTCTGGCACTGAATGACACTGGGTCTGCTGTATACTGTTGTAAATGAATAGATAAATCCATAGCTGTTCTGCATGTAGTATTGCTTTCTATGCTTCCCCCCCACTTACCCAAAGTCCCATGTCTGTGTGGAAGACCTCTTAAAAATAAATCTGAGGGGAAGCAAAGAAAAAGGAAGGTTCATCCTCTGACTAGTGCTTGTTGGTATCTTTTTTGCAAACTTGCTGGTAAGGATATTGGTGTGTCATCATAGGCATAGATTCTTTTCCATTAAGAAAATTAGGGTAGAGCGCGCTTTTTTTTTTTTTTTTTTTTTTTTCCTGGAGTAACTGCATTTGAAATGACTATCAGACCACCTGTTTAGATAACCTCAAAGTCAGCGTTGCAGTTCTGTAGACATGGAAAGGAGTGGCAAGCTCAGCCCTCTTGTTGTCCTCATGTGTGCAGGTGGGACCATGCTACAGTGCAAGAGAAGGCTGCAGTCCAGAAGCTTTAAACTAACTAGTTTGCTTGACTTAAATTTTTCAGTCTGAGTCCTTACCTAAGACCCTGCTGAAACCTGCACTGCTCTCAGTATTTAAGCTAGCTAGTTTAAACTACTTGGAGTATGTTCCCACCTCTGGATTACAATGGAAGTTATTGCAGTGAATCACAACAGCAAACATTTTGCCTGAAGCATTTATCAGCTGAGCATTGGACTGCCTCTTGAACACAAATTGGCCCTGGATGGTTACTTGTAGTATGCTCTTTAACACTGGAATGTACATTTTGGACGCGTTTGGGAAAGGATCTCTTTGGGTAATATCATGGTCTCTACACCTTCCAGCTTAATGAACTATGCTCACTCATCTATATTTGTTAAGTTGTATGTGTTTAGATGGGGAATTTTATAGAGGAAATTTGAGCCACAATCCCAATGAAACACAGGGAGAGCTCAGTACTTCCTTCCCTTATGTTATAAAACTGTATGTAAAAGCCCTTTGCAAATTGTTCTGTTTGAAGTAATTTAGGGCTACATAGATGCCAGGTGGAGTTACCAAGGGTTCCTAAGGCGGTCAGAGCCCTGATGTCCACTGAAAGTCAACAGGATTTAGGCTCATTTCTGTATCATCCAGTCCCTACGTTGTTTCTTCAGGCACTGAAGTGTGCTTGTAAAACTCATCACTAGTAATCTTCAAAATCCTACCCTTTAGCTCGTGCACTTCTGTAGATTAACATAACCACCCCATTGCCCAGCTTTACATAGAGGAAGACTGCACAGTTGCCAATGTCTATTCCTCTCTGGCACCATCTAGTGACTCCAGAACTAGACTTTCAACCACTACTCTTCCCATTGGAAAGCAAGATGTATTTTCCTTTGGCAGTAGTTTAAAATTCCGTTCAGTGCAGATGGCGCTCTCATGAAATGAACTCACCCTTAGAGCAATGGTTGCAAAGCCTTTTGGGAGAAAGCTTTGTAGTATGGCTCTTGTACTAACAGTTTAGATTCGTAATTCAAGGTGCAAAACTGCCAAAGCACATAAAAAATAATGTGAAGATCTTGTTACACATATTTTGTTACAGTAAGACTCAAGAATGGGTGTGTGTGTGTGTGTGTCTGTGTCCGTTTTAAGACTGTCGTAGTCTTTGAGCATCTTTTCTAGTCCTAATAAAATAGCTGAGAAAGAAATGAGCATACTTAAATTATAGAATGATTCAGGGCATCATGTTGTTAATAATGTAGAGAAATGAGATATAAAACCTTTTACTCAAGCACACCCTAAAGCAAATTTAAGTAGAGCACACAGCTATGATGCTGATTGTTTTCACAGGTGTTGGCACCATATGAATTAAATGAAGAAAAAAATGGTGAAACATTTATGACTCATTAGAATTATGTGGTTTTCTATCCTGTCCTAACAACTGAAAAAAGGTGTAATTTACATTTGCAGCCAAATGGTGTGAAGTAACATTATACTTTACCGACATGAAAAGAGGAGACTTCCAGATGACTACTATTCTGAACTTCTCTACTTCTCAAATCCTGGATTTTCAATTTTTCATGTGGACTTTTGAGAGCTAAAATTATTGCCCCATAAAAAAACCAAAAAGGAATATGGTAAATTTGAATCTATAGAACATGTGGTTTCAAGGAGCTAAGTGCTGTTCACTACACATAACACCTTTGCAATCAGAGTATTTCTCCTTTTCATCAAAGAATACACCTGATAGATCCAAAGAGAACCACATCTGTGGGTTTTTTAAATAAATGAAACCCTGCCTCCTCCTTTTCCTCTCTCCTTTTCAGAGTTTAATTTTTTTCTATCAGAATTGTTTTGCTGTAGATCTTAAATATTTACATGAAGGGAGGTATCCTGACAGGCTGATCTATAACAGGAAAGCAACAAATAAACAAATCCACATCTACAGTGTTTTAGATTCTGGTTTCCTGAGCTAAGTGTTTATTTTTCCTATTGTAAAAACCTGCATTGAAATACATTCAAAATGGAGTTCACATGGCAGCTTTCAGGCAACATCTAATGTTTTAACAAAGCCATAATACAAGCCTCAGCTTCCCATATACTGCATAGTTGGCTAAAAAAGAAAGCAGCTGATTTATCAGAGCCTCTCTGCTGTAGATGAGTCTTCACAAAAGGAACATGTCGTACTTTGCAACTGAGACTTTTTTTCAAACACCTAATAAACCAGGAAAAAAAGTTTTACTGGGCTTCATGAGCACATTTTTCTCCTCTCACCACAGCACCAAACCCAGTTTGTAATCCTACTTTCATTTATTTCATCCTCCCCTGAAATTTCTCATAGCACAAACTTGCTCAATTCCGGCTGGCTAATTTGCATCTCATGGCCTGCAGTATCTCTTTAGGAGGTGAACTATTAAAAATACATTAGCCTGGTGTGGATGGTAATGGGCCAAATGCTGCTGGTTTTGAAGGCAATCTGGGAAGCCTCATGCTCTCTCTGACTCTTGATAGCTGTGCAAGTAAGTTGTTTGCATTTGCTGTTCTTGGACTTTTAAAGTTCTAGCAGCAGATGTAGGTGAGATGATTGTTCTTCTGAAATTCTGGATTGAGAAAAGCACTTTTCTTCCTTTCCAAGCTTGCTCTAATCTTTAACATTACCCTTATTTCTGTTCTGCCAGAACTGTGTCCTATTAGCATCCAAAAATGTTACACATAACTTTGGCTTGCTTACAGAAGATGATCCAACCACTAACATTTGCCTTCTGTAGCCGAATGCTGAAAGAAAAAATAATCCACATTTGAAATGTGAGACTTTGCTGCTGTCAGGTTTTGAAGCTGATTATTAGGACTGCGATTTTTATCTACTCACTTGTACAGTAATTAAAAGCAATTCCCTCATCAGTTATCATCCGGTGAAGCCAGCTTTTAAGCAGTGCTTGATGTACAGTTTATTAACCTAAGCCCACATTGAAGGAAAGGTGACATAGTTTAAAAAGTAAGAATGAACGCATCTGCTCTGAAACAAAGAACTGAATGCAGAATAGATGCTTATTGTTAAACTAGCAAAAATGGCAATGTGATTTTAATTGGCAAAGTAGGAGTAATCACCTGGCTTAGGCCAGGTGTACACTTTCATTCTGTCCACTCCCATCTGTGTTCTTTTTACGTGGATTATTTTCTGTGTGGATGTATCCTGTCATGATGGAGTAGGCGGTTAAAGACTTAAGAAGGAAATCAGAGAATCAATTACTGTGGCATGCTGAAAAGGAAGAGCTGCCTGACAACCTTTGCCACACCTTCTAGCAGATAATGAGCTTAAATGCTTATCAGTGTCAGCTCCAAATCCAAGATACTTGATATTAACTGAATACTGTGCCTCTAGCCTTCAATGTTCAATGTTGTAGCTGAGGACATCTTTATTCAGGAAAGAGATGTCAAATAATAGGCAATGAAGATCATGATATTTACCTGTGATGCCTTTTCTACGTGGTGCTGAAGACAAAACATGAGGCTGAATGAAGGCAAACTGAGAGTGAGCCCAACTGTGACTCTATCACATTGGACTTTTCTTGAATGCTGAAAGTTAGGTGGAATCTTGTGAGAATGCTCAAAGATTAGAAAAAATAAGCATTTAGAGAAGAAATTGAAAGTGAAGCAGAAGTCACTAAAGGATTATACGCTTGCAGAGCACCTGAAGC